GACAAATTGAATATATATGAATTCCATATTTTTTCATTTTACCTGTTATTTTTAAGTCATGTAATGACATGACCTTCAGAAAAGAGATGTATAAAATACAAAGAGAAAATAGTTTGGAATTTTTGAGAGGCTGAGGTGTAGAAGCCTCCTGTTTTAAAGACATTAAGTTAATTCTCACAGTAATCCTGTGAGCTGATCTTAATATCCCTATTTTACAAAAAGAGAAACTGAGGCTCAAAATGAAGTCAATGGCTGGTATAAGACAAAATTTTGGTCTTTCATAAAAGCCTATTTTTGCTTGTTTGAATTTGCTTTGATCATGATTGACTCTAAGATAAAGGCTATATTATTGGCCACTGGATAAATGGGAGATGTTTGATAAAAGTAAGAGTTTACTTCTAAATGATATAGAGATCAAGCTATACAAAATGTATAGTTATAGAAATTCTAGGCCAGAAATCTTTCTAATCCTCTTATAGACTTGGTTGGCATTATTGATTTACTTTTTAAATATACGTAATATTTATAATGGGTTTAGGACTGTCAGTCACTTTAATAGCACAAAATTATTATACTGTGTATAGTAATAAGAATTATAAATTTTATACTGATAAAACCTCTAGAAAATGTTGGCCTAGTCCTCAAGGATGATAAAGTGAGGGCCAATGAGAGTTGGGTTTTAGTAATGAGGAAGCATGTTGTGTCTTTGTAATCTTTCTATATATCTTTTTCCTCTTTTCACCTATAAGAATTCTATTTATTTGTCCACATAAGCCCTAATATCTATATACTGTGAGGTAATAGCATGCAACCTTTAACTCACCTAAATGTTCCTATATCAATTTTTCATATTGCTTGAATAAAAGTTGTATTTTCTCATTTTTTCTGCCCTGTCAATCATAATCAATGCTTGAAGTCTTAAATGCATCTTATTAGCTTTGCATTTTGCTGCTCCCTCTACCTAGGCTATACTTTCTTCCCCTTCTTGTGTTTACTTACACCATTCTTCCTTTAAAGCTCAGTTCAGGCATCATCTCTCCCCAGGAAGCTTTTCCTGACAATCTAGTCTCCCCAAGTACTTTCATAGATGGCCTGGGTTACATGTCTTCACTGTGCTCCCATAATTCTCTGCACATAAATCTCAATACACCTGGTGAAAGACCAGAGATAGTGTAGCCACATTGGTGTGTTCAAACCCTGGATCCATGAATTATTAGCTACATGCCCTTGGGTAGATCATTTAAACTTTCTGAATTTCATTTTCTTTATTTGCAAGATCAGAATAACCATTTAATGCAGTTTTGTTACAAAGAAAAATAATATACGGAAAGCATAGAGTAGGCAATTGTGTTGGATGCCATTCCTTTGGCTTCCCAGGCCCATTCTTTGCCTTTTCTACCCTGTTCTGGGCTCCAGGAGGCTGACTAGTAAGGACCACAATAATAGGCTCCTTGCTCCTGTGTCTTGTTTGAGCTTGGCTTTATCCACAGAAGTGCAGACAGGAGATCAGAGGGCAGAAGGAAAGTGAAGTAAGAGTCAAGGTTTTTAGTTCCCAGACCCTTCTTTGCCATTTAGCCAGAAGTTGCCTGCATCCTTCTGCAAGGATATAGCTCCTGCCAGCTGGTTTAGTCTATACAGTGACCTTCTCTGTGTTCCAGTGATTGCTCTCTCCCCTTGACCTTTTCATGCCAGGATACTACATTATCCCTTGTTCATTTCATTTAACTCTGCTCCCAAAGTTGTAAATAGTTCCTTTATTAACCCCCCCTCAAAAAGTCAGCTTGAGTGTGTCAGCTGCTTCCTGCCAGAACTCTGACTGATACTACATTCAATATTATTAACAATATGCATTTAACAAACCGTCCTGTAATTCTCTCTTGATTTCTCTGAATCTCTTGCCAAACTGTGAACTACTTTAGAGCAGGGACCATAGCTCATTTGTAATCATTATTCTCTGCTGTCACGAACATTGCCAGGCAAAATAAAAACATGCAATAAATGTTTGTTGATTGATTAAGTGAAGGATGGAATGTGTATTATTTTGACTTTAAAAGTAGGCGCTCTCCTTTTTTCTTCTGATTACAGTGCTTCATACTGGGTAATATAAATAAATGTTTGCAATGATGAATGTGAATTTGTCTAGAAATAAGGGTATAAGATGATTAAAAAGAATTTTTCGGGGCAAATTAATCTTGGGAACAGTCAAGAGGCCATCATATTAAGTGCCATATAAAATTAACTTAAAATAGGCAGGATTTGTTGAACTCTAGGGAGGGTACAAAAGTTGGGTTTAGGTAAAAATCTTTATAAACCCATACTTATTTCAGTAATCTATGTAACTGGAAAAATAGTGAATTGAGAGGGAAGAATTCTATAGATTATTTAGGTAAACATTTTTCAACCATTGTCTTGCATAAAACATTATTCTGGTGCACCCACTTGGAAAGTTATCACTTGAAGCATGATCACTAGGTTAATTTTTTTCTATTCACCAGAAGAGATATGCTAATTATGTTAATTTAGTTGGGGGAGAGATAATGTTGAGAATTACACTCTTTACCACAGGGATCATTGGGTACCTAGGAACAACAGGAGCTGCTCAGAAAAAGACAATTGGTTTTAAATAGCAAATCAGAAATTGCGGGTTGTGATGGGGGGCGGGCGGAGGCGGGGGCGGGGGGTTGGTTCAGGTTTGGGATTAACAGTTGAAACTTGAAGAGTCAAGGAGATAGAGTTTGTGAATGTACTTTGTCATCTAAAGGTATGAAAAAGCAGTATCATTTTAACCAACTTTTTAGGTAGACCAGGCAGGCATTATCACTTTCATTTTATAACCATGGAAGGTTAAAATCAGAGAGATGATGTGCTTTGCCCAAAGTCACACAAAATATAGCTGTACAAGAATTAATTTGAATTCATCTGTGACCAGCAATTTCCACCTCACCAGCATGACTCATCTAATCCAAAGTTGACCAGTTGTTTATTAGAGGTCCCCAATATCTTTGGCACCAAGGACCTGTGCTCCTAAGAGAATCTAATGCCTGATGATCTGAGGTGGAGCTGAGGCAGTGATGCTAGTGCTGGGGAGCATCTGCAAATACAGATGAAGCTTTGCTTGCTCTCACACTGCTAACTTCCTACAGTGAGGTCCAGTTCCTAACAGGCCATGAACCTATACTGGTCCATGGCTCTGGGACCCTGGTTTACCTGACTTTATGGTAGGCCCATTTTCCAAACCTTTCTTCTTTCTAAGAGTTCTATATGTTTATTTTCCATTATAATAAATTTAATTTATTTTGCTTTTAACCCTTTTATAAAATGCTTTTAATAATAAGAGATTGTCTTTGTTGATGAAACACTTGAGGATTGCTCATGTGAACCCTCATTTTGGTTTAGGTTTCAGTGTCCTCCTGGAACCACCCTGTGTTAAAAGCACTCCCAAATGGTTGAATGACATTGCTCATATTAATGATTTCCAATTGTTAGATGCAGAAGCCCAGTGGCATGACGTAGGCTTTCTAAGTTATTCATGGAGAAGCCTGATGGGGGGCAAGTGTAAAGCAAAATTCTTAATTAAATTGAATAGGAGAAGTTGAACTCTGTCTGCAAGTAGATGGAACAGTTACAAAAGGCCCCATGTGGTTAAAAGTAATACAGAATCAAGACTCCCCAAGGACAAGAAACTCTGTTTTAATCTTTGTGACTCTGAAAGGAGGAAGAAAAAAGATTAAGCCTCCTTGTAGAGATCATGTGACAACTTCCTGATCCCAGCTAGAGGCAGCATTTCCATGGAAACTTCTCTTCCTCTTCACCCACACACTGCTCCTTCCAACTAAAAAGGCTGTTTTAAGTCTAAAGAGAGTTGTATGGAGGAGCCTTGATTTTTTTTTTCATGAGACAAAAACTCCAGCAGGAAGAGAAAAGAGCGGACAGGCTGACATTCCAATGTCACCAGCATAGTGATGACCTTCCCTAGAACCCCGCAGTTAAGAGCCCAGACACTGCTGCTTTCCTCAGCGCTTTTCACTTTTCTCATTTGTTCTTTATGTTCCTAGAACCACCCAGCTTTGAGGAAGGAGCAAGATAGAGAAGAGTGTCTCAGAGGGGCAACTTTGAATTGATTACTCTCATCCTCTAACTCTTCAACTCGCGTTAGTTCAAATCACTCAGCTTTAAGCCCCTCCAGGGATTGGTCCCAGGTTTTATTTCCTATAGTGTGGGGAGTCTGTCTGAAGCCAATGCTCCAACTTTGCAGCTGAAACACAGCTCCCACCTCCACATTTACTCTGCTGGAAGTAGTGTCTCCATTCTCATTCATCTTTCCAATTTATGACCACTCTTTAGGGTTTTATTCAAGTGGCTCTCCCTTAAAACAATTTGAATACTATTATCCAAAACTATGCAATTCTTTCCAGGATCTCCAGTTCACAAAGATGTTCTCTCCATTAGAAGGCTAATATACTTATGACTACTACTCATTAGGAAACTAGCATAAGTGGTAAAATTATATTTTTATCTATGCATTTTAATTTACCTAACTCATTGTACATATAAATAATTCCTAGAAATTTAGATGATCAATAAATATTTGTTGAAAAATATATTCTTATTCATTCACTCACTAAATCGAGAACTCCTTTGCAAGACCATATAGCAAAAAAAATTTCAAATAAATTCCTGATTTCCAGAACTTATGGATGAAACAAGATGGTATAGCATTTAAAACAACAACAAAAAGTTTTCTTTGGAATATTAACTAGTAAAAGTCCTCACAATAAAGACAAGTCACCTATCAAAGTGACCTATCCTGAGGAATAGTCAGAAAATGAGTGGTTACAGAGCTAACAAGCAGTCAAATGCATCAAGATAATCAGGGAGAAGTAGCAGCAAGATTTTTTTTCTTCTGATACTTTGCACAAAACAAGTAAGCTGCAATATAATCAGAAATAAGAAATAATCTTTAGGCTGAAAAAAGTCTCTTTTTGCAAAGCCAACACTTGCAAATACTGTGACCTATTTATGGTCTCAGAAACAAATACCTTACACATATAATGTCTAATACTTCCTGACCTTTCTTAATGAGAGAAGCTCTAATCCTGACACTACTTATCATTTTCAAATTAAAATCATCATTAATTTCAAAGTCAATTAACTGGTTTATATAAATCAGGCACTGTGATTATTAGTTCATATTATTTATTGTTATTGTAACCATAAAAAACTGTTAATGGTGAATACTGTTTCTCACTATAAAATAGGCCTATCCCACTGGTGGGATACATGCCAACTCCAAAGAAAAGCTAATCATGTGGTTTTCAGAAGATGAAAGCTTAAGATAAAGACCGAGAGTTGATGCTGGAGGTGGGAGTGGTATTACATAGGTCTTAGCCAAAACATGTGATAGTCACTGAAGGGGTAGCTGGAAAGAGAAGTGTGTGGCTCAATTAATTACACAGCTGAAACAGACCTTGTAAGGACTAGAGGAAGAATGATTCTGGCTGTGTTGTACTGCCTGCTGTGGAGTTTCCAGACCTCCACTGGCCATTTTCCTCGAGCCTGTACATCCTCCAAGAATCTGATGGAGAAAGAATGCTGCCCACCATGGAGGGGTGACGGGAGTCCCTGTGGCCAGCTTTCAGGCAGAGGTTCCTGTCAGAACATTGTTCTGTCCAACGCACCACTTGGACCTCAATTCCCCTTCACAGGGGTGGATGACCGGGAGGCTTGGCCCTCTGTCTTTTATAACAGGACCTGCCAGTGCTTTGGCAACTTCATGGGATTTAACTGTGGAAATTGCAAGTTTGGCTTTTGGGGACCAAAGTGCACAGAGAAGCGACTCTCAGTGAGAAGAAACATCTTTGATTTGAGTATCCCAGAGAAGAATAAATTTCTTGCCTATCTCACTCTAGCGAAGCATACCACCAGCCCAGACTATGTCATCCCCACAGGCACCTATGGCCAAATGAATAATGGATCAACACCCATGTTTAATGACATCAACATTTATGATCTCTTTGTCTGGATGCATTATTATGTATCAAGGGATACATTCCTTGGAGGATCTGAAATCTGGAGAGACATTGATTTTGCTCATGAAGCACCGGGTTTCCTCCCTTGGCATAGACTCTTCTTGTTGTTGTGGGAACAAGAAATCCAGAAGCTGACAGGGGATGAGAACTTCACCATTCCATACTGGGATTGGCGAGATGCTGAAAACTGTGACGTTTGCACAGATGAGTACATGGGAGGGCGCAACCCAGCAAACCCTAACTTACTCAGCCCAGCATCCTTCTTCTCCTCTTGGCAGGTAAGGTGTTCTGGTCACACCACATCAGAGTGTAAAGGAAACTTAGCAATCACTTCTTCAGGCAAATCTTCATAAACTTCCCTCCTCTTCTCTCCTACCAAGAAAAGGTCCCCTTTTGAGTTCTCAATATACCTTGTATTTTTCCTTTAGAGTACACTTCACATCTGTAGTTACATAGATATTTGTGTGTGTTTTTTTTTTGTCTAATATCTTCTACTATGTTCCTACGTTCACCACTGTAACCTCCAGCACCTAGGATGACGATTGGCAAATGGCAAGGGCTCATTAAGTATTTGTTGAAAAAATAAATTAATAAATATTTAGATGATTAATAAACGACCTAGGTCAGTGTTTCTGAAATTTTCTTCATGATGAAATTCACACAGAGCACATATTAAAAATACAAATCCTTGGCCTTATTTCAGACCCATTGATTAGAACCTTCAGGGGAGGGTCCTAAGGAGACATCATTTCCTAAATGTCTATGATGATTACTATGATCAAAAAACTGGGGGAAATATTGTTTAGATTAAATCTTCTTTTTAAAAAATATATGAGGACTCTAAGTCCAAAAAGGTAAATAATGAAAATAGCTAATATTCATTGAGCATTTAGCATGTGTGAAGCCCTGTTGAAATGTTCTTGTGCATTAACTTATTTAATACTTTTACTAAAGTTTCCCCATCTTAAAGATTTTAAAACTGTACTGTAAAGATGTTAGGTAACTTGTACAAGATCATAAAGCTAATTAGTAACAGAGATAAAATTTGTTTTCAGATTGCTCAGCTTCATGACCATTCTACACTGCTATAATGTTTTTAACCAAAGGATCTAACCCATTCTCTTATGTTTTTCATCAGGCGGTAGAAGAAATTAGCTTTTCTCCCAAACTGCAAACTTTAGAGGAACAAGATAAGGGATTGCTATTTTGAAATTTAATTTTTCTTTCTCCTATTCTGATTTCTTTATTCTAAATTATGAGCAAAAGACAACCAAAGAAATATAGTTTTAATTATTTATCATTTTATACCATTAGAAGGGATTCTATTCTACTTGTATTCCAAATATTTCTAATACAGCAGTTTTGATTATCAGTGCTTTATGAAACTGAGCCCAATATTTAAATAAGATAGGAAAAATCACATTTGCACCTTGCATGCTGCAGTTTTAAAATGTAAATGTTTCCCTTCCCCCCATACAACTAGGTTCACACACCTTCCAAATAGAGCCTATTGAAGCTCATTGAAAATTGGTCACTGTATAATATCTGGTGTCACTAATGTCAGCTATTTACCAAGAGTAATGAGTATATTTGTGCAGGAAAGCCTGGGGAAAAAAAGTGTTTGGAAAAAAATCTATTTCAATAAGCCTTCAGATCTCCTCCTGCCTTAATCTATAAAGTGCAAAACTCTCATCTAGCTCTCACATCCCTGTTACTGCTTAAAATACTGCTTAGCTTGGATGTGGGATTTTCGGTCAGTTTTAATGCTTTTCTTAACTACATAATTTCATTTGACCCAGAAAGGCTAGAGGATTATCTAAATTATCAAAAAAGTTATAACATCCACACTAAAGCTTAATAGATAGATATGAATTGACATTTAATTATGTAAGATGTATGCTACTTGGAAATACCCAGAATTATGTTTGTAATTGTTTTCTAATAATTTATTGTTTATTGAGTGGAAAATTTTTCCTTTTTTTTTCTTTATGATTGTAGCCAATTTTATTTCTAAATAAAATTTCTGGGTCTAGTAGGTAAACGCTACTGAAACTGTTAAAATATTAGGTTCAATACTGTTCTATGATTAAACTACTGTGTAGTAACTGGTGTTAAAAATAAAATTAGGAGTCTACGATCATGCCACCCTGCACAAGCCCAATCCCCTCTGATCGCGGAAGCTAAGCAGGGTCGGGCCTGGTTAGTACTTGGATGGGAGACCACCTAGGAAGACCAGGTGCTATAGGCGTAAAAAATAAAAAATAAGGGACTGTAAGTTGACAGGGTCCTTGCAATCTGTGAGGTCAACCAAGGGTTGCCTCACATAAATCAATCAATCAATCAAATTAGGAAATAGAATGGACAAAGATCATTGGGAAAAAAACAAGCAAACAACAGCTTAAATAAAGAAGATGAAATGAATGAACATTTGTGTCCACCTACTGTGAGTGGTGTCACTGTGTGAAGTGATTTGATAGTCAAACCCAACTCTGGCTATTTCCATTCCTTCGCAAGCTTCTCTGGTTATAGTCCTTTAAAAATTAATATCAGTTGTTTATATCGATTTAATTCAGTAATTCTCAGCACCTAAATCATTTAGGGAGCTTTAAAAAAAAAAAAAAAACAAAAAGAAAATTATATGAGTTCTGCCCATATTACATGAGTTTTAAAAAAACAAAACAAAAAGAAAATCACATGAGTTCTACTAGAAAATCATATTTGGATTGTCCACTGTGAAGTCAAGGCACCTACATTTTTAAAAACTCATATGATTCCAGTGTGCAACCAGCACTGAGAATTACTGATTTAATTAATATGAAATTGTTTTGGTGTCTCTTTTACTTTACAAACTCAAGTTCTCTAATAAACACACCACTGGTTTAAATGCTTGTGCCTGAATTGAACACTCAAATCAAGAACTAGACTATTTTGTGTGAGATGAGAACACAAAGCTTCCATATTCAGTGAATTTATTAATACCTTCTAAATTAGCTAGACTGATTGCCCTTTGATACAAAGCTTCCATTTTTTCCCCTTGATTTTAGATATTTTTACTTGACACAATAATAGAGGTTTTAGAGATTCATAACATTTATGAACTCTGAGCCTAAGAGAACTTGAATTGCATGTAGTGTGGTATCCACATTTTAAAAAAGAAGACAAAGAGGACCAAAAAAGTAGGATGATTTGTCCAAGATCACACAGTTGAGGACTAAGACCCATTGCCTCTTACTCCGTTGCTATTTCAAGTCAACCGTTACCTATGTATAAGAAGCAATTTAGGCTTAGAAGGAATCAAATAAGCCACTAATTTATGGATGTAAAATTGACTTGAAGTCACTTTGACTCCCTTAAAATTTAATTGCACAGACATTTGGGGTAGAAATACTGATGCAGTTCTTTCCATTCACGTTATAAAGAAAATATTCCATTCTACTTTTACTAATATATCCCTTACTCAGGTAGAATTGACCCTTGCCCCTTTGACCTATCATTACGCTTTGTACAGATCTATATTATAGTACCTATAATTCTCTAGTACAAGTAATTGTTTCAAACCTATCTTTGCCTACCAGACTGTCAGGTGTACTAATGTAAAGACCATTTCTCATTTATTTTTATATACACAAAGCCCAGAATCATGATATATACATAAAATGGGCTTTATAAATGTATGTCGAATTGAAGAAAATTAAAAACCATAAAAACATTACCTCTAATGCTAACATTCATTAAAAATTAAACTCTGTGTGCCTGGGTTTCTAGAACCTTATATTGTGTTTCTTTATAGTATTGAATCCCCAAGGCCACAATGCCAAAATAAACAGCAACTAAGTCAAAGTCTAGAATAAAACATTTTGTCTAGTCCTCTCTGGGCTTCTATATGTATGTGTGTGTGAATGCACACACTAAAAAGAGAGCACACAATAAAAAAGTTCAAGTGAGTTACAATGAATCTGAATGTTATTTAAGTGTGATTAATAATATTTACTGGTAGGATTTTTTTATTAAAATAATACATATTTAAATGAGGTAATGTTAGTGTTTTGAGAAAGCTTACATTCATAATTCACATGTTTTTTGTACATTTGTCATTTATTTGGTTAGTGCCAAGAGTTCTTCAAGTAGAAGCATGTCTGTCATCAATTAATACAGTCCATTATTTTTGGAGATGGAGGAGTGGTGCTTCACAAAGTACAAATACCTAGGCTCAAAACAATTAGATCCAATGTTAGTTATGTAAGCAGCAGATAACCTAGCCATGAAAAAGAAAAGTAGATCAGGAGTAGCTGTCATGATGGGTCGAAAAAAAGAGAAAAAAACATTTCCTAGATTATAGACACAAGTGAAATGTGGCCAGAGAATTCACTCATCAGGTGAAAAGCACATCACATGGAAGCAAACAGTGGGAAGAAAAAAAAGTCACATTTCATCAGAGTCATGGGTTTTAGGTAACCATAGCAACAGCTCAGTGGAATAACAGCTTCTCTTCTTTCTTTATGAAAAAGATTCTGTGGAATGTCATATGGTTTAGGTTTTTTTTTTTTTTTTTTAAGATAAAACCTCTAATGCCATAATAAAATCTTCGCTATTGAAAGCTTTTAATAACTGGCAATTTACTGCTATTTCTTTAAGAGAGCACTATCTAGATTCACCTTCTCCATTAACACATCTGTTCTTTCTATCTCCCTTTTTTCATTTGACTTGGGACACTTGATATTTTTCCCCCTCATCATATATTACAAATCACCTGTAGATAAAACCTCTAATGCCATAATAAAATCTTCGCTATTGAAAGCTTTTAATAACTGGCAATTTACTGCTATTTCTTTAAGAGAGCACTATCTAGATTCACCTTCTCCATTAACACATCTGTTCTTTCTATCTCCCTTTTTTCATTTGACTTGGGACACTTGATATTTTTCCCCCTCATCATATATTACAAATCACCTGTGTTGAAATAGAAAAAGCACAAATTTCTTGTCAGAAGATCTCTGCCACTTACCAGATAGTATTGGACAAGTTATTTAGACTCTTTAATCTTTGGTTTTTCTCAACAACCAAAACAATGGGGCACAATTATCATATGTGTTTGTTTTGTGTTAATGGAACTATTAAATAAAACAGAAAGCAGAATAATGTAGTAGAAAGGGTAAAATCTTTTGAGTCACATAAATATGAGTTTCGGTAGACTTTTATAACTTACTTATAAGATGCAAGATCCTGGACAAGTTACTTATTTATTCTGAAACCTTTTTTCCCTAAAATTAGAATAATATGTCATAAAGCATTATTGTGAATGGATTCAATGAAACCTGTTCATGTAAAATGACTAGTTAAGTATCCGACATATTCTTTGAGTTCCATGTATGAAAATTATTATTATAATATATCTTTATGATATATTGATGTTAGTTATTTTAACAATTAATATTCAACCAGTACGATAGAGCCAGAGTTAAAAACAATTTGGTGGCCTGCCCAATGGTATTGTATTCAATAATAATTATAAAAGCTGTTATTTTTAAATACCCTATACCTGATATGCTAAGTGCTTTACATATGTTAGATTATTTAATCCTTCATAAAAAGTTGCCATATTCACCATTTGCAAATGAAAAACCTTGGTGTTCATAGAGATGAAAGAATTTGCTCAACATCTCGTAGCTAAAAAAGAGGCAATATTGGGAACCATGTCTTTCTGACTGTGATCTACATGATCATAACATTAGAGCTAACAATGTCTCCTCTCCTGCCTCCCCTTCTGTATAAAATATAAAGACAATGCTTTGGGATTAAGTTTTTCAAATTATTACTGTAACAAGGGTAGATTTCCTCCTTTTTACTAATACATCCAGTCCTCTGAAAACTGAGTCACTTGGCAGTTGGCATTTCATCAAAAATGGTTCCATTCAAACCTCTCTGATTTAACCAAGTCTGCTGTAGGAATCTTTCAGGATGTAGAATCTTCTGAAAATATCATGAGATGTTTTATTATTCAACAGGAATGAAAATGATTTCATCTATATACCTACTGTGATATCTAGTTAATTGACACTATAAAGAAATTCAATGTATTACATTCAATGCAAAAGTTAGATTAGCTTTATTCAACCATTCCTAAGCCATTTATAGGCAACAATAAATGTAGTAGATATAGCTTTGGAATCAGGAGGACTGTGTATTAATTTTCTAGCTCTGGCTGTAAATATCTTATGACCTTAGAAAATCACCTAACTGTTCTAGCTCTCAATTATGAATGAGTAAAAGGATTGAGGAACATGTTGAGGTATGGCAGGATGGGTTCTCCTGCACTTATATGATGGTTTAGGATTGATATCTTGCTACCAGTTACTTCCTCTCATTGAATCTAAGGCATAAATGATTTTAAGATAAAGAATTAATTGATATATCACTGAAGAACAACATAAAAATAAGTTTGCCAATTAAATTATGATGTGATATTATTAACCACTTAGAATTTTTTATTTTATACTTATTGAAGGAACTGCTTTTGACTTAGTCGAGTTTTTTTAAATCACACTTTACTGTTCCACCTACTTATAAAGGAAACTAGAAGTAAAATAATTCAATAAAGGTCCCTAATATTTCATATTTAGAGTCACATCCTTTTGAATTACTTTTTAAGTCAGAATCTACGGTGTCTGTTTTTTCCCAAAATATTAGCCTCGAAAACTAGGTAGAATATCAGATACATTGCAAGGAGTGGGCATTCTTACATATGAACAAAGGCACAGGATGGAGAAGTACACACAATGCCGAGAGGAGTAGTCAGTCTGAATTTAGCAGTAGGATGATGTAATTTGTAAGCAAATAGAGAATGTTTGTCAGATTCAAGATATTCTCTGGAGGTAGAATTGACAATATTAGCTGATGGTTTCAATGTGAAAAACAAAGGAAAATAAAATACAAGTGATAACTCACCAGTTTCTAGCTTAAACATAATGATCCATGGGCTTCTGGTTTGAGCTGCAGGATGGTTGTTATAAGAAGAAATATAGGGAAAGGAATAAATTTGGGAATTTTAAAATTATATTTGAGATGTATGTAAGATAACATTAAAAACTGAAGTTGGAGATGGATATTCAAGTTTAAGAGTTCAGAGGGTTGGTTTTGGAGTAGAGATAGGAATGAGGGAGTTTTTATCATGTAGTTAACATTTAAGTTATGAAACTGGTTGTTATAGCCAAAGGAGAAGATATAGAAAAAGATAAAAGAAGAGGACACAGACCTAAACCCTGGGCCAGGGCATAGAACCAGTGAAGTCACACAACAGATAATTACCAAATGTTTGTCAAATTAATTTTCTCATCAAAAACTATTTGACAAAAATTATATGAAGTATTCCTATTTTATAGATGAGGCCTAGGGAATTTGTGTTTTTCTTTTTTTTTTGTTAAGTGGTAGATGCAAGATTTATAATGCTGTTCTAGAATTTAACTTTCATGGTATATTCTGCAACCCTCAGAAAACTGCTTCCTTCAGCAATTTAAATTATTAATCTCCTGATGATGACTAATCCAAATATGATGATCAGGAATATCAACTTCCTTACTTTCCACCTTTGACTAGGAGGTGGCGACAACTACTTTAACATGAAAGTGTTTTGTGCAGATCATCTGTAGCCACTTGGAGGAGTACAACAGCCGTCAGGCTTTATGCAATGGAACTCCCGAGGGACCATTACTGCGTAATCCCGGAAACCATGACAAAGCCAGGACCCCGAGGCTTCCCTCCTCAGCTGATGTGGAATTTTGCCTGAGTTTGACCCAGTATGAATCAGGTTCCATGGATAAAACTGCCAACTTCAGCTTTAGAAATACACTGGAAGGTAATCCTTTTTCACTCATTTGAAATTTCTTTTTTTCTTAATTTATGTTTACAAATCTTAACCAAAAACTCTAAACCCAGAAGTGTTTGACAATTCAGAATTTTCTGAGTAAAGACATGCGGTGTATATACATATATAGAGATGGCCAATAACCCTAGCAGAGTCTGGGCAGTTTATCATAATCCAACATATTAATAAGTTCAACAAAAAGTATGAATATATCTACTATGGCAATAATTAGAGATAATAGGCAGTCTAATGGCTAATAAAGTCAGGTTTTTCCACTAAAAGGGTATGCCAAACAAAATAATATACTTCCAGACCTTTTTACATTTTAGAATTATAAGTATAGAACTGTAGCTCTATATACTTTTCTGAATTTTAGTATTTTATCTAGTTTAAATTATTCTGGACACTCAGCTCTTTGAGGCAATCCATTGTCTTAACTATAATAAGGATAAATTCTGCATGTGAAATTAATCCCCCACCATCGTTTAAGATTCTGTGCTTCATCAGAGACTCTTTTCCATAGTCTCTTTTAGGTCTTACCTACTTCTGCTCTCAGTCTTGCTTGCATCTTCCCTTCAGTGCCTGTTCACTCTTCTCTCCTCAGTGCTATGTCAGTCATGAAGCATTCCAATTTGCATTATGGAAACAAACCTACAGATAAAACAAACAAACAACAAGAACTTAACTCATGTCACAGATTGAACTGGAGTGCTAATTTGTACCAAGCCGACAATTCAAAATTTCCATGTCCTAAAACCTCTTTTGCCCTTACCATGTAGAAAAAGCTTTCTCTCTTTCCTTATTTCTCTTTAACTTTTTTTTTTTCGGGGTGGGGGGGGCGGAGAGGAGTTGTCATTATGATTGCTGTTTTATCCTTTAACCCTGTTGCTCAACTGTGCAGAATAGTTTCACTGTTTCTTTCATTTCTCTGTATCCTTCTAATTCATAATAAACTTTTACTCTCCCTCAGAAGCAGTTTAAACAAGGAGAATATCACCCTATAGAGGAATCCTGGTACCAGCTATTAAAATAAAAAGTATTTTTATCTCCCTAAAGTAATATGAATAATTAACATTTTACGAGTAATCACTATGTGCAAGGCACTGTGCCAAACATTTTGCATAGCGCTATCTCACTTAATTCTTACGATCAGCCTCTGAGGAAAATGGCATCCTTATTTCCAGTTTAAAGAGAGGAAACAGTGTCAGAGATATTAAGTCATTTGGCTACCTACCACTGCTCATTCGGCAAGTAGCAGAGCTAAATCTGTTCCTAGATTTGTCAAGTACCAAAATCCCGTAGTCTTTTCCATTGTACTCTGATCACCCAGAGTGAGCTGAGAGTTTCTTGAACGTGGACAATATCAAGCTGGTCCTTCAGTAATATCAGATAAGAAGGCAATGCATGGTGCCCAGGGGTCTCAGATATTACAAACTAAGACAAAGGCACACGTGCAAATTGACAGTCACCATCTGGGAGGTCTGGGTGTCCTGGTGGACTGTTTAGGGTTTAACAGTACTCCAAATTCTGACTTAATGACATTACAAAGTAGGACTCTATACTTAAAGGAACTGGAGTACTTTACAGGTTTTTAAGGCAGATTTTACAGCTGTGAGAAAGCATGAACTTTGTTATTAGGAAACATGGGATGGGTCACAGAAATAAGGTACGGGAGCCTCGCTTCTCTGGGACTCAAATAAATAAAGTGACTTGAGCTGTGTCAACTCAGTCAGTAGCTTTCAAATGAGTTTCGAATGCACAGAGATGAGTAGAGAATATCAGGTTATTGCAAATAACTTGCTACCACTGATAAATTGTTTGTGAATTATTTTCTTGATTTGTCCCCTCAATAATTTATTCTCAAACAGTCTAGTATGTTTTCTTAAGAAAAAGAGAAAAGGCATATCACATTATCTGGCACATAACAGGTATTCAGTAACTATTGATAACTGAATATATAAATAATATCTAAAGTATTTCAAATTGCACCTAACCCACCATTTAGCTTATCTATATTTGTTGTATGATGCCAATGTGCTGGTGGAAAAATGTTAGAAAACAATGATCTAACAAAAGCTTTTCCTGACCAGGAACACATTTTTTTACTCTTTTCTTTAAACATTTATTTCAGAAATACTTTTAAGTTTACAGAAAAATTGCAACAATAAAAACAGTACAAAAACACATATATACCCTTTACCCAGATTCACTTACTGTTTACATTTCATCTTGTTTGCCTTCTTCATTTGTCTCCTAATCTGAACTTTATTTTTTTTTTTTTGAGGGTAAATTGCACAGATCAGAATTCTTTACCCTGGACGTTTCAGTGTGTTTTTTCTTAAAACAGGAATTTTTCTTACATAACCACAGAACAGTTATCAAGTTCAGTAAATTCTATATTGATATAATGCCTATTCTAATTTAATGTTTATATGTCAATTTTTTAATAAACCTAATAATATTTTTTATAGTATTTTTCCTCTCTGTAACAGGATCAAGTCTAGGATCAGGTAGCATTTCGTTGTCATGTATCATTAGCCTTCTTTAATCTAAAATATTTCCACAGTCTTTTTTCTTTTAATGAGATTAACATTTTGGGGGAATACAGTCTCTCCCCGTACTTTAAAATAAAATTTTTCTCAGTTTGAATTTGTCTGATATTTCCTCATGATCAGATCCAGGTAATGTATTCTTAGCCAGAATTACACATAGGTGATTGTCTTTCTAAGAGAGTATCACATCTGGAGGTACATATTGACCATCTGTCTCACACTGGTGATATTAATTTGATCACCTGCTCCAGGCGTGGTCCAATTTTCCTACTGTATAATTACTCCCCCACACACCTTGTTCCAACTAATAAATTGACTACATGGAGACATTTTTTAAGACTATGAAAACGTCCTGCTTCTCATCACAGTTTTCTCCTGTAGTTACCATCCACAGATGGTTACAAAATGATGACTTCCCAACTTCAATACTCCTTTTACATTAGCCAGTGCTCAGGATTCTACTGTTAGCAAGAGCCCACCTGCCTGCCCACCCACCTGCCTACCTGCCTTCCTTCCTGCCTCCCTCCCTTACCTCCTGCCTGCCTGCCTGCCTTCCTTCCTTCCTTCCTTCTTTCCTTTCTTTTTTCCTTCCTTCCTGCCTTCCTT